CTACTCTTGTGTTTTTCATCCTGTGTCCAACGGCATGGCCCTTTCGAGAGTGCTGTATGGCGAGGGGCCGTAAACTCTTGAAAACCCTACTCTTGAGAAAGTCTGACAGCTCTGGCGAGGCCCTAAGTGCAACGACGACAGCACTTGATGCCAATCCAGGAGTCTGACAGCGCTAGACGAACTCTTGAAAATTTTCATGTGTCCAGCGTAGCGCAGCGAGGCCCATTTAGGACCGGCCAGGTTAGTTATGATACCTTACAGCAGATAAATTGGCACAGCTAAATTGGTCACCCGCCTCCTCCCGATCCCGGAGCGAGAGCATCTGTTGCCTGCCTAACTACTCTACGATAGTTTTTTTGTTTTTTTTTTGAGGGGGGGACAATTTCACGATTTATTTATGGGCAGGGAGGGGCCATGCTAATCTTCTGTCTCTGTATTTTAACATTTTGTCTCTACACAAGCAATTCGAACAGCCTTTGCTCCCTCCCTCGTCTCTCCACAAGGAGCAGTCTGAACAGCCATTGCTCCCTCCCTCGTCTTTCCACAACATCCGCCTACCACAATCTCCTCTCTCTCATGCCATAGCGATGAGAATGCACTGCACTGCAATCCCGCTGTCGACTCACTGCACAACCGTCGCACCATCGACCACGCAGTGATTACATGGCGAAAATGTGTCTCACCGCGATGGCAATGCCGTCTGCCGCCATAACAGTGAGTGGCCATGAGAACACATTGCAATCTCGCCTTCCTCCTTTCCGCCTCTTGGATAGGAGCCCGTCCTCCCTCGTCTTTCCACTGCCTTCGCTCCCTCCGCTCGGCGAGCAGCTCAGCACCCCCCTCCTCCCGGGGCCAAATCTTACTAGCAGCGTTGAGTCTCCTCAACGCCCGAATCTGGACGTGTTTATGGAGATGTGTGGTCGAAGAAGCTCTGCACACATTATGCACATTTCCTCAAACACATCCCGCTTTTGCTCAAACATGTCCCGATTCAGTTCAGGCATTGAAGAAACTCAACGCTGCTGATGGGACTCGGTCCTCGGCCCCTTGTCCATCCACTCAATTTTTTTATTTTATTTTCAACTAATATATTCTTCTCTCATCGAATCCCCTCTCTTTCCCGCGCATGTGCAAAATGAGAATGAACTTCTCGTAGAACATGACCATGCACCCGCGCATGTGAAAGGCAAAAATGTAAGCACGAAAAATGCGACGGGCACAAGCCAAGTTCCAGCAGGGAATTCATTCTCATTCTTATTTTTATTTCAAAGAAGTGAGCAATCGGGGCCGGGGGCCAAGTCCCACTAGCAAAGAGTAAATCGGTGTGTGGCACATTTTTCGGATTAAAAAAATGCCAATGGAGAGTTTTCTCCGTTATTTTGTTTTCGTTGCAGAGTGGAGTAGACACCTTCTACGGCTGCTCCCTTTGATACTTGCTCAAGTACTACGAACGGTTCATGATTCAAGGCATTGAGAGGGTATAGGGTTTGAAGGGTTTGAAACGGGCTTGATACTTACTCAAGAACCATGTATGGATCACGTTCTGGGTTTGAGAGGGTATAGGGTATAAAGGGTTGAAATGGGAAAGCACAGCTATGCTTAAATCAAGGGGGCGGCTGAGATTGGGCTACGGCTTTCTATCACTCGCTCAAGGATCGGGGATGGGTCTTCTGCTGGTTCTGCCAGATCATTGGTACAAGGGTTAAATGGAGAGACACGCATATATCCAAGGGGGCTGCTGAGATAGGGCTGGGTTACTAGATGAGAGGTGCTCCTAAGAAGGGATGGGTGACACTAGCAGCTCCATGGGATTTTGGAGCCCCAAGCTGAGTCTGAATTGACCGCAGCCCCGACGAACAACAAACAGCATTCTCTGTATTGTACGATGTATCAAAGGGACGCTGGACCCGGTTTCCAGCAGGTGCTGCTCCCCACCAATAGATGGAGCCTCCCCGACGGTGCTAGATGCTAGATGTGTCTGCTCGTATCAGCACACCTAGCACCCGATCGGGTTGTTCTCTCTCAAAAAAAAAAAAAAAAAAAGAAAGGTCTCTGCAATAATGACTGACAACCGTCATTATTGCACGACTGCCAGCGTACCTGGGATGCATGTGACCCGATGGCGGGCTCCCATGTACGAATGGTACAGAACATTTTGGGTAAGTGCGCCTCCACACAGCTCCCGGCCTATGAACCCCGGTTTCAAGTGAAAACGGTGAGGCCGAAGTGGTGCCCGCCAACCTTTCCATTTATGGGAAGCCGACTCGTTGGTGCATTGGCCATCGTGTCGAATGGGAGGGGAAGGGCCAAGCTTCCCCTCCCATTCCCTTCGTTCGCCCTTGGGACCTGGCTGTCGGAGCGGGTGTAGTGCAAAGGGTTCGTGGCACACAGCGGTGTGTGTTCCTGGGACGGGCCCCCTGCGCAGCAGTGGTTGGGGTTCGGGTGGTGGTTAGGGGTGGTTTCCTGAGACCCTTCGCCCCCGGGTTCGAAGTCTTTGGGCACCTCCACCCGGTGTCCAAGCCATCGCCTCCCGTTGGTGTGCAGCAACAGTCATGCCACGACTCGGGAGGAGACGGCGGGAAGAGCTTGCTGTTGCGGTGATGGCCATTGCCAGCAGGATGGCCGAGGATGCCTTCGAAAGTCTCGATTCACTGCTCGGCAACCACACATGCAGACCGTTGCTGTTGGGCCCAGACAATGACATGGCGGGGAGGGCTCTTGGAGAAGATGATGACGACCAGACATGGGGAAGGCGTAGTCTGGTTTGGTTGTTTCCAACTATTTATGACATCTGCAAGCTATCGCCGCGGACCTCGCCTAGGTGGTGGGTAATGCGGCGGGAAGCCGGGTTGTGAAATGACCTCGTTGCCGCGGATGATGCCGAGAACGACCATTACTTGGGGCTTCTACGCATGCGGCGGTCCACTTTCAACAGGCTGCTGCGTAAGGTGGGCCCCCTTTTGGAGAAACAGGTGACGGAATTCAGGTTGCCGTTGCCACCAGCTAAGAAACTGGAGTATGCTCTCCACAGATGGGCCCACGGAGACGGGCACTGGCACAGTTCTTCGGGGTACGGTATGTTGAAAACCAGTGCCTTGCGGGCCGTGCGAGAGGTGGCGGAAGCCATTCACGCAGCGTTCCCGAACGCCGTCGGTTTCGGTGGACTGGAGGAGCGTCACCATCGAATGCAGTGCTTTCGGGCATTGGGTTTCCCCAATTGCTGGGGGTGCATTGACTGCACTCACGTGTATGTCGACAAGCCGCGATCTGCCCACAGTGACGATTACTGCTCTGGGCGTAACAACAGGTTCTCTGTCCTCTAACTCATCATCAATTCGGAGTTGCAGATCCTGGACTTCTGCTACGGCTTCCCTGGGATTGTTGGCGATGCCCAGTCTCTAAAGAACACCTCGCTATTTTTTGTCTTTAAGGGTTCCTTGTTCGTTGACCTCCCGGACGACCCGTTCCGTGCAGAGAGGCCTTCGATCCCCGGTGTTCCTGGTGGGTACTTGCCCGGTGATGGCGGGTATCCCAATCTACCTTGGATTGTCATCCCCTATGGCCAGCAGCCACACCTCATGAGGGCGATGCAGCGTTTCGACGCCCTTCACAAGATTGTGAGGACTTGTGTCGAGCGATTTTTTGGAGTTTTCAAAATGTGTTTCCAGTACTTCTATAGGCCGCATATAACGGACATGTCGAGGGAGAAGTTGGAGTTCCGGGCATGTTGCATCATCCATAATCTCGTACAGGCTTGGGGAGATATGTCGGAGGTGGACGGCGAACTCAGCGATGCGTCGTCTCCTGACGGTCCGCATCCGGATGTTGACCTGCGTGTGGACGGTGCCCCTCTCGAGTGCATGTTTGGCAGGGGGCGTGGTCAGGCCGTGCGGGACGCACTGTGCACAGAGGTTGTTCGTTTGTGGGAACTCCAGAGACGGCAGGCCCTGTAGTTTGGTGTGCGGTTCTTTATTTATTCCAGTGCTCGACCCACATTTCAAATTTTGACGGCCTCCTTCACACCACGCGTCTGGTTCGACACGCATTTCAATATTGAATTCGCAGCCGGCTGTACGTTGTGTTTCTTGCTTCAACTAACAACTACCATCCATGGTAGGCACCGAGCAGCGCAGGCACTACGCGTACGAAAGGTGTGCATTCATCGAATGTATGGAGAGGACAAAGATGGAGGCTGAGCGGCTGCACCGGTTCTTGGTCCATAGGGGAAAGAACATCACGGTCACATTGCGGAGTGGGAGGACTGTACACACCACCGACATATCCCTTGAGAACATACATGCTCGCAGGTGGGCGTCTTCAATGTTGAAGAGGCTGAGCGAGTCACGTGACGCTGTACGGCAATGCTGTAACGATCTTGTCGTGAACAACATGCAGATACGGCGTCAGGTTGATCGATGGAGACGTGCGGCAGACGACATGCGAGAAAGATTTGAGCATGCTTCCCATGCTTTAGATGATGTTGTGCAGCAGAGGGACAATGCCATACGTAGGTTGGAGTCCGCTGAGGCAGACTTGAGGGTGACACGTTCTCAAGCAGAAACGACATGGAGGTTTTACGACGAAGTGCTTGACGCCGACGACGGTGTTGCATGTGGAGGCATAGCTGGGGATAAGGACCTGACAACACAGTTTGAGCGTATGTCTATGTGTTCAAGGGGAAAGGGAAGGAGGCTTCGACCTCACATGCGTCTGCGTGCGATTCTTGTGACGAGAACCGCGCCATCTTGTTGGAGAAGGATAAGGAGATTGCGACGCTGCAATTCCAAATCGAGATGTACCAATACCCACCAGCGTTTTGGGAAGAGTGTGATACGGAGTTGGCAGAGTATTGTGAAATGACGGGTTTAACACAGACACCTCGTAACTTGCAATCATCGTAGAGAGAGAGAGAGAGAGAGAGAGAGAGAGAGAGAGAGAGAGAGAGAGAGAGAGAGAGAGAGAGAGAGAGAGAGAGAGNGAGAGAGAGAGAGAGAGAGAGAGAGAGAGAGAGAGAGAGAGAGAGAGAGAGAGAGAGAGAGAGAGAGAGAGAGAGAGAGAGAGAGAGAGTCTCGATATGTAATGAGAAGTGAATGACAGCGTTTGTGAGCACGTATTTGGCCGTTATTGATTTTCGTTAATGAGTGAAGTATGTATTTCGATTGTTTTATTGGTCTTTGTTTGCCATTTATTTGTTTTGTGTCATTTTGATTTTTTTTTTTTTTTGTATGTTTTTTTTTTTATGTTCGCAGTTCGTTCGCACATGGTGTCCGAGTCCGTAACATGGTTGTCATGAAGAACATGTAGAAGATGAAGGTTCACGCATGGTTTCCGAGTGATTTTTTTTTCTTTCTTTTCTATGTTTTATTTTTTATGTTCGCAGTTTGTTCGCGCATGGTGTCCGAGTTCGTTCGGGCATGATGATGATGATGATGATGTCAAAGTTTTTCTTTTTGTTTTTTTCATTTTTTTTTTCTTTATTTGTTCGTTCGCGCATGGTTTTCATGAAGAAGATGTAGAAGATGAAGGTGGCTATGATGATGATGATGATGCAATTTTTAGGGATGATGTTTTGCATAGTATAAAGTATAATGATGTTTGTCTTTGGAATGGTAACGAACCAACCTCATCGTCGTCATCATCATCATCATCATTATCGGCAACAGGGGGTACGTGACAGGGCCCCCTTTTGATGATGATGGTGATGATGATGACGATGATGTTTGGCCTCGAATTCCATGTCAGCGGTTTGGCCTCCTATTCTTCTGAACCATGTTTTGGGAGAGCATAGGTTTGGCCTCGGATTCCACGTCAGCAGATCTACAGGAAGCGATGGTATGCGGAAGGTGATCGCCTGCCTTAACTCTGTCCGCGTGCTGTGGAAGCGAGTCCGAGCGTGGCCAAGCGCTGCTCGTGGTTGCGCATGCCTCCGGAACAACCGGATACACCGGAGACGCCAGCACAGCATCTCATAATGGCTCGTGCCACCGATGCGGGCAATCAAGTGCGCCTCCCTATCAACTCTCTAGATCCAACGCGAGCACCTCCCTCCCTGTGTTACGCCACCACGTGCTCAATCCCGTTCCCAAGGACCCCCTCAACACCCGCGAAATAGTCGTAATTCGGAAGGATAAAAAAAAAAAAAAAAAAAAAAAAAAGATATGCATAAATCGAGAAATGATATCATGCATAAATCGAGAAATAGTCCTAATTCTTTAAAAAAAACAAACACACAAAAAATGAGGAAGAAAAAGAAGAAGAAGAAGAAGAAGAAGAAGAAGAATGAATAAGAAAATGACTGGTGGCAACTGCTTCAGATATGCTTCTTTTTCAGTGCACGTCGAAATTTGTGGTTTTTTTTTTCAGGGTATTTGTTTGTGGTCTTTCCGTTTTTTTTTTTTTTTTTTTTTTGGGGGGGGGGGGATGATTGTCTGCTACCCCGCCCATCTGCAGTGCCATGTCGATGTGACTGTCGTGGGAGTTTTGTATTCCCTTTCTGCCACGAGACACTCACTCCCACGACAATGAAGGATGTGACACAGTCAATCGCTGGTGGAAAACGGGTTGCACTGGGGCTGCCATGCCCGATTCCGACAAGCCGGGGACCAGGCCCGTGACACCCTCTCGACGTCCCTTCGTTCATGTCCAAGGCCAGCCAGTCTGCAATTCGCATTGCACGCAGTCTCAGACGCTGCCTGAGACTGTTCTCATCCTCACCTCCGACCCTGATTCTGAACCCGCGAACAGGAGTCACAGGCGATTATAGAGGTGGACCACCTGTCACAGCATTGGAAGGTCAGAGGCTGCCGCCCGCACCGTCCGTGACCTGCCACAAGGACAGGCCGTGGACCCCAACCCCCCTCGCTGCTTCGGCCGAGCAGTGGAACCGAGGAGACTGACATGGTCGCTGCAGTTCTTGAAAGGCCGATGGAGGGGTCAATGCCCCTACACTGTGTTCTGGCGGGTATGGGGACTGGGACCCACCGCCAAGCACCGACACACCGGACTGCGTACCACTCACACCTTCGCGTAGGATGGTTTGCCCCGGGACCTGCGTCGACTGCAGCGGCCCACCATCCGGTCCACATGGGCCGAAGTCCTGGGACTCGGAGTATCCCCAGTTGTCGATTGCAGACAGGCCGGGGTTTTGGCTGTGGTTGGCCATGGACACTGAGGGCGTTTTCTTCAACCTTCAAGGACGATGTGCCGAACGAGGGAGGATGAAACAAACGCCCGTTTTGCTGACTCGGAGACAGAGGAAAACGGAATGGATGCGACAACAAAAGCAGAAACCAACGTCGGCTCATGGGAACTCACTGCATGAAGGCCATGCCCGACGGAAGGAGGGCGGAAAGGGACTGCTTTCGTGCCACCCGACTCTTCGGACCGTTGGATGAATCGCACAGATGGTTAGGAAGGGTGGAGGCGCTCTCTGTTCGTACTTGGCCCGTTTCCACATGCAAACTTTCCGTATCGGGAAAGTTTGCCCGGTTGCCTACGTATTTTCGGAGTACAGTAGGGGCTGCACATAGAAACGGCGGTAGACCAAATTCTCTCGCCAGGTATGAACTTAGACTGTGGTCATACCACAGCGGAGACAGACTAGGGCAAGGGGTTGGCAGAGGCATTCTTTGGGTGGGAACTAGATGCCTTTGTGGGAGTAGGGGGGAAACGGGTCTGTCCCAAGTTGGGGCCAATGAGGAGTGCCCGTGATCAGGGGCGGTCCTTTTTGGCGGAGGCAGCGGTGGGGCAGGGGGAGGAGGGGGACAGGGGGGTATTTCTATACTTCTTGATTTCTCTAAGTTCTCAAAACAACCAACCTTGTTATTCCTGGTAGTTTGAAGAATCTCTTAGGACTCTGAGGGTTTGCTGGCGGTTTGTACGAATCTACACTGGAATCAGACTGTTATATTCAGGATCCATAGCTGTTCAACGCCAGAACGACGCTGGCCGGAGTCGGGGTGATGCCCTGTAACTTGCCGAAGGTGAGGGCATGAGGCCTTGTAGAGAGTTCTGGGGATGCTATGCGGGGGCATCCTAAAGGATAGTTCGGGGTTGCTGACATAGGACGACACTGCCCGGAGCTGGAGTGAGTCGCATCGCTCTGTAACCGAGCAGAAAGGGGGCGTGAGGCCTAGATGAGTTTGTCAGAGAATAAGTCGGTTTCAGTGAGTATTGTTATGATCTGTTGGAAATCCCTTAGATGCTCGAGTGTTCGGAAACCTGCGGTGGATTTCAGGAGGTGTTTAGTGATCTTAAAAGGAGGTCAGAATGTGCCGATATAGCATAGTCTTCTATATGGTTTCATACTAATCATCATCATCATCATCAACATCATCATTATCATCATCATCATCATCATCATATGAGGGACGTTGAGCCCGTTTCTCAGCATGTTCGGTTCGGTCACTCCGGGTAGACTGTGAGGACGCCGGCCTCAAGCTTCTTGTTGATAATATCAGCCTTGGGCACTGGGCCCGTGTTTAAAAAAAAAAAAAA